GTCGATCTCAAGACCCTCTGCATCGATGACATCATCTTGTTTCCCTTCTCCCCCGTGTACGATGCTCAAATTCGATTGGCATACCGAACCGATCGAATGTTCGATGCCAGTGATGTCAAGGCGGAATTGCCCGATTTCATCTGTTACTCCCGAGAGAGAAATCCGTTTCTACCAAGCAGCAACATGAGTCTAAATGGATCGTCGTGTATTAAAACACGGACACTAGGAATCAAAATGCCCAAAGACATCCTTTCTTTCTTTCGAGCATCCTTGGCTGATACGCATCACTGTGACAATGCTTCTCTCTACCTATGTCCCAATTCGACGAAGTGCATCTCGAAACATCGTCTCGTCGATGGACAGCGTGACTACTACGACAATTCGGACGAAGAATATCCCCATTCCTGCACTTTGAACGATCGATTTCGCTTCAAATGCACATCCGAAGACGACAAGTGCATATCACCAAAGCTCATACTCGACGGTGTACGAAATTGTCGTGGAGGAGAAGATGAGGATCTGGCTCAAGTAAGAGGACGAGAAGTGAAGAAGAGCATCGAGTTTTCCCTCATCTGCAATGGGTACGAACATCTCAACAACCAATTGCTCGAACATGATGAAACGCACTGCGACGATTGGCCTTGCAGCAACTTATACACTCGCTGCGATGGCGCCTGGTCGTGTCCGAACGGCAAAGATGAACGGTATTGTGGAGAGCCGTGGTGTGCTCGAGATCAATTTCCCTGCATAGCTGTTGACAACCACAGCCTCATCTGTCTCCATGACCATCAGGTGGCAGACGATATCATAGACTGTCTTGGAGCAGCAGACGAACGACAGTTTTGTCAAAAGAGAGGATATCTCTATGAAAGATTTCGCTGCGTGACAAAGGCTATTTGCACTTCGAACAATCAGTGTAACAATCCCGCAGTCGTCTGTCCAGGAGATGCGGTTATCCAACCATGCACAAGCGATATGCAGACACTCTTTGCCCTCATATCTGACGAAGCTCTCATCACGCCGAAATATCGGTATTTTCGCATGCACGCTGCTTCTCCGTATCAGATCGACACCCGTAGCACCGTCATCGATACTACAACCGAACTGACCATATCATTTCAACGAGCATGGTGGTGCAATCGTGGAATTGTGGTGTATGAAGGAATTGACAAAGAAGAGCGATGTCTCTGTCCTCCCAGTTACTATGGCAGCCGTTGTCAATACCAGAGTCAACGGGTCAGTGTGTCCCTTCAGTTCCGACAAGTGTGTGCTCCTGATTGTCGGAGAGCATACACACTGGTTATGTCATTACTCGATGACTCTCAGAATATCGAGCACCAAGAACAAGTCTCGTATGTTCCAACGCGAGATTGTCATCACAAACGATATGTCTATTTGCTCTATCGTGAGCGTCCAAAGAACCTTTCGAAGGAATATCAAGTGCGAATCGATGCATACACTCGCAGTCCGATCCTACGATTTCACGCCACTTGGCTGCTCGATGTACCCTTCACCTTCCTGCCCGTTCATCGCCTGTCTGCTCGTCTTTTTATTCCGCCAGCACCCTGTGAACCGACTACAAAATGTTCTCTTCTCTGCGGATCACACGGTTACTGTGTGGTCGCCATCAACACAGGAAAGCTAGTATGTCATTGTCATCCTGGTTGGCATGGTATTCATTGCTCTCGTTCTTATCCGTGCAACTGCGCACGCAATTCCATTTGCGTCGGCAATGGTATGTGTGTTTGCCCGCTTGGACAGCGCGGAAATCGTTGTTACATACCATCCTCCTGCAAGACCAATCCATGCTTGCACGGAGGCACGTGCATTCCTGATACCATTGGTCTCCTCGAGAGCTCATTCACATGCATCTGTGCACAAGGATATTCAGGAGAATCGTGTGAACGAAAAATTCCTCGTCTGGACGTCAGTTTCGACAAGAAAATAGGGCTACCCGAACTAATCTATGGCCATTTTGTTGAAGTGCAGAGAAATGCACATCCGTCTGTGGAAACAGTCGTGCAAAAACTTCTA